AAAAAGAACAGATGAAGCTCCGTTAATCAGAGAAACTTCCAGCTGAGATGTTTGGAGATAAATGTTCGTTTTTCGAAAAGTTTCGCAATCAGAGCTCGATGGCGACACCTGCTGGTCGAAGTTAGGAATCGACCAACCGATCAACATTAAACAAAACTGAATAAATTTTTAGAGGTGACTTAATAAATGGCTACAGTTTCTAAATACTGATTATAAGGTGATAATGTTAATTTTAAAGTTATGTTGCTGCCATTATTCCTCCAGATGAAAGATGATCAGCGGCAGGAGCTTCGGATCTTTTTGCCTAGTTAAATCCAGGAGGTTGTTTTGTTTTAGGCCTTGTCCTGTTGGTCACTGTGTTTAACTACAGGTTTGATCACTGGGGCAGGATCTGTATCAACTGAAGGGTGTTTTTACTTGACTGTGATTTCAAGCAGACATTTTAATTTGTACATTTTATTTTCAAGTTTTGGAGATGAAACATGGTTTCATCTCCAAGCGATAGAAAACATCCTGAACTTCAACCCTGGTCTTTGATCAACTACTGATAAATGACAGAATCAGCAAAGAAAAAATGTTAGTATAAAAAATCTGTTCTTTTTCTTTTAAATGAGAAAACATTTTATTGATTAAAATACAATATAATTCAAATGTAATCTCAAGTTTGAAGAATGTAAAAGTTTTTTATAGAATAGATATTTCTAATCTTTTTTTCATGTTATTACTCCTCTTGATAGAGAAAATGCAGCTGGAAGATATTAAAGAAAACCTAAAACGGTTCCAGCTGCTCTAATAAACCAGCAGAGATAAAGTCAGAGTTCTGGAGGAACTGATAGGAGTTTAATATGTCAGGTTTACTTCGAACTCGGGTCTCTGGAGTTTATCAGATCAGACACAAAGTTTATGAGTTTGGTTGGGTTGGATTTTATTTCTCTGTCTAAACTGTAATGATTCCTGCTGAGGTGCTGCAGCATCGAGGACGGGCTGCTTTGAAACTCCAGTCCTGTTTTACTGAACACACCGGTGACTTTTTCTGTCACTGTTTCTTCCTTCATAGCTGCTAATAACAGTTAGCTTCATCAACAGCTCACTGGTGGAAGTGAGAGTATTAAAGTATTAAAACTTGATTTAATGGATCTTTGAGGCAGATAATTTGCCTCCAGAAACTTTAAAGTTATCATACTCAAACCAAACATTTGATCTCTTGTGTTTTCTGTTTCTCTAGACATCCCAAAGCAACATGAAGATGAGGAAGAGGAAGATCTCACTGACCAGCTCTGTAATCAGATGATGAGCTGGAATGAGATCCAGGAGCGATCAGAGCCTCCACATGACAGCGACAGCAACGAGGAGCTGGGACATCAGCTGCTGAAGGAGGAACCAGAAGCTCCTCGGGTTAAAGAGGAGCAGCAGGAAGTCTGCTGCAGTCAGGAGGGACAGAGTTTTACTCAGACTGTGACTCTGCAACAAACTGGTTTCAGTGGAGAAGAACCAAACTTTGAGCATCTCGATTCCAACAATGTTTCTGCTCTGGAGAACCAAGATGAAGCAGGAAGCTACAGTCCTGCGTTAGCGAGTTGGGCTGAAACTGTCCCAGATGAATCCTGGGAATGTCGCGTCTGTGGGAGAGTCTTCAAATCTCAGTATAACATGTTGCGACATCTCAGAGACCACTCAGGGGAGAAGCCACTGTGCTGTAAAATATGTGGAAAAGTGTTTGTACAAACATGTCATCTGAAAGAGCACATCCAAATGCACACCGGCACCAAGCCCTTCTCCTGTGAAATCTGTGGGAAACATTTTACCAGGAAGTCTAGCCTGAAAGTTCACAGAAAAACTCACACAGGTGACAAGCCTTATTCATGTGAAACCTGTGGGAAACGTTTTAGCAGAAGTTTTTGTTTGAAAGTTCACAGAAAAACCCACACAGGCGTTAAGCCTTTTTCATGTGAAATCTGTGGGAAAAGCTTCCGTGAAAAATGGTATCTGAAATTCCACAGGAAGACCCACACAGGTGAGCGGCCATATTCATGCCAAACATGCGATGAAAGTTTTAATAGTGTGAATGAACTGATTTGTCACCAGAAAGTCCACAAAGCTCTGAGGGATTTCTGGTGAGATCTGAGGTTTCTGGGGAGTCGTTTCACGTTTCCCAGTTCTCCAGATGTTTCCGTCATCCAGCCGTTGACTTTCACACTGATGGAAACAGCATGTTTTAAAGCTGCTGCAGCAGTTTAGTTTTACATTTTTAACATAATTCTCACATCAACATAACCAAGAGGTCCATGCAGTACAATCTGAATATGTTACGAAATGTATGTGAGTCAGGAGTCGTCAAAATGGGATACAGGGAAAGGATGTTACCATGGCGACTCCTTTTCATACATAGAAGGGGTTGGATGAGAGCAGACTTTAACTGGACCAAAATGGCCGTGTTTCCTGTGGTTGATGTTCTGATGAAACACTGTAGACTGTTAACCTGCAGGATGAAAACATTTGTGTTACTTTCTCTGATGAATGAACCGTTTCTCCTGAACACTGATGGACGTTTCAGACTGAAGGTTAAATCTGTTCCAACATTTATTTCTATTTAATTGATTGCTAAATGTTTGACATCCTGAGCTTGATTGCTAAGCAGAGTTGTAAAGTTTAGATTTTTCTTTAATGTCCTATAAAACATTTTGTTTTTCCCTGTATGTTAAATGAATAAAGTTTCCTTGTTTGGGGCCATTTTTACCGCTCCAGTTTGTTCTAACATGATTTCAGTCAGAGTTCAGTGGTTCCACATGTCGAGTCCTGATCCAGAGAAACCAGTTCTTCCTGCTGATGTTGGACCTAAATCAGCACCAATCAGGTTCTGGAGTCAAGATATCAACAGAAACATGGAAAAACCTGCTCAGTGATCAGCAGAATGGTTTAAATAGTTATTAGTTTTCCATTAATAATCAATCATGTACAATCAGTTCTGTAACTTTGATATAAGAATTTCCCCTCAAAATTGATTCTTAGCCTGAAAAGGTGCCTCTCATTTTTAATTGGCAACAACCTTCTTGATTGAAAATGATTTGAAATTCAAACCTGCCAGCCGTGTCAATACTTTTTGCATAACAATGTGGCCAAACGGACATCATGGTGTTGACTTAATCTGTCAACAGATGCTAAAAATCTGCCGGTCAGTCATATTTTGTCATCGATGTGTTGGTGGTTTGAGTGATGCTCCTACAACAGAGCATATAAATATCCACAGGTACTTTGACATAACACCTGGCATGTCCCTGTGCACTGCTGTGACACACAGACTCAGAAAATGAAAGAAGGATCCGTCTTTTCCCTGTCACAACTACATCGTGTGGGAATTTTAATGAGACAGATTCCAGAGCCGCATGAACAACACAGACCGTTTTTATTTAGTGTGACCGGAACCCAATCTTGGTTCCGACCCGCCTGGCCACTAGGAAATGTCTGGATGGTCCTGATGGCCAGACCGCTCTGGTTGGAATGACAGAAACATTACAACCTGTAAATACAGGCAAGGTATAAATCTTAATGTATTATCAGACTCACATTTCCACAGGTATTATTAAAAAGTAAGCACTGAAGGAAATGAAAATAACTTTTGCTTGTATCCTTGATTATTTTCTGGTCTGTTAATAACAGTTTAGAGAAGTTCTGGTCCGGTTCGGAGGATGGAATCTGTTTGGCTGCCGAGCTGCTGTTCGCCTCCAGTCCAGCAGGGGGCGGAAATGGACCAACCAGCTGCTTTGTCTCAGTTTGACCCCCAGCGGAAGTAAAACAAAACGGCTCCAGCAGCGGATTGTGTTGTGTTTTTGTTCCTCAGCTGAATATCTCAGTAACAA